GGTGTAGGGTGAGATGGAGGGAGATGCCAGCCTTAAGATAATTGTCTATTTACTGAATAGATACAAGGTGTTATGTGGTTTCAGTTTGTAAGGTATAATTGTGGATAAAATAATAGGGTTATAAATGGCTAGCAAACACAAAAAAGCTAATAAGCTAAAGGGGCTTATCCACAGAATATGGACAGGTTCTAGACTTTCCAGAATACAATGAGGTGTAGTCTTAACTTCTGAACCTACTTGATGAATTACTTGCCAACTATTGTGAACTGAATACCAAAAATGCAGTAGCCCAGTCTGATCCTACTTGTATATTTAAAGGCACAGAGGTCATGTCGTGTCCCACACAAATCACCATCTCTGTATCTGTTTGTGCCTCTGTATATGAACATGTGCAAAATAATACGTTTAGCAGGTATAATGTTAACCGTGTTCATCATTTTAGTTTAGCGAATGAACATGCTAACATAACATCAATGCTTAACATATGTACAGCTGTGTTTGATAACAATAGTAACTTTGTTTAAATAGCACCTTTCATACATGCTCAAAGTGCTTTACAGTATGGCATTACAACAAAACAAAATAAATAAAATATAAAAAATCAAAACATTCTCAAAACATTAGATATAATATACATCCATCAGCCATGACATTATGGCACCCTGGTGGTCATAATAATATGAATAATAAGGTTTTCAATTGACTTTCATGCCAGTCACTTTAATAGTTGTTGAGATATTTCAGTATCCAAAGTGATGGACCAACCACCACTGACATCCCCAGAGCTTTGTGCGTTGCAGCATGTTATCAGTATGTTTTTGTTTCGTTTTTTTTTTTTACAGTTTTATTTTAGTTGCTCATGGGTAAACAGAAGAGTACATTCAAATCAAGATATTTCTAGCTGGCGTGCAACCAGTCACGATTTAAAGAACAAGGTGCTGAGCTTAGCACTGCAGGTCTTGAATTTATTACTTAAAGTTCAAGAGAGCTGTAATTTATAATGTCCACCAGGGAAAGTGTGGTGCAGTCTCCTTTTACTAAGGTGAACTTAATATGGTCCCTATAACAACGGAGAGAAGTATGACGCAAGCCTATCACCCATCTCACCTGCACTCCTATAACTCAACTTACCACAGCTCCACACCTTAGTGTTAGAGTGCCCGCTCTAACCATTGAGGGGCATGTCTGAGTACCCAAGGGTGGAACATACAAATCTGTTGTGAGATTCTCAGCTGCTTACACTCTGTTCTCTGCTGTGGTCCTTTTGTCTACAGACAAAGACAGGCTGGGCCAGCTGACATGGAAAGTAACCTCCTGTCAGGACTGGTGCTACACAGAGGTGATATGGAATCTGAAAATGTGAGTGGGTAGAGGGGGATGATAATTATTCTAGTAATGATTAGTAATTTCACCTTGTTGTATGTTTGTAATGACACGTGTTTTTCCCACTTCAGTGTTCAGTGGATAGTTTAGTGGCCACAATGGTCACTAAAAGCCCATTACCCTGGCTGAATTTTTCGCATATTCAAAAAAAATGTTCAACAAAATACACTGTGGGTCCTGTGAACAAACATACTCAATCCTTAAAAACTGAATGGAAGTATCATTCTGTGGTTTATCTCCCCAAGCAGAGAAAGGAAGGATTGCCTGTATATTCACACCAAAATTGCAGTGGCTGAAACATGGAAATGGCTATATATCACCAATTTCCAAAATAATCTTACTTTGTTCTCCTTGTCTAAATGCAGATCCATACTCCTTTTTTCATACATCAATAGGAAGATTCATGAAGACTCCGAAAAATTTATTAATTTCGTTTCGCTTCACTTCTACATCTACATTAAGGTTCAGTATTTGGCTCATTGGGTTCTGGGAAAAAAACTTGCCCATAAATCCACTTCGAGTGTGAGGCTTTGTATTTTCTATGTTACAAGATTCCAAAGCAAGG